AAATCACAGCTCAGCTTCAGCCTGGTCTAGCTGCCTTTACTCCTCTCCAGGTGTTGAGCCCAAAGCCAGTTCCTGATAAATGTTTCACATGCTCATCTCCGTTTCAGAACCTGCTTTCTGAGACAGGTCTTATTTATGACGAAATCATAATTATAGTTAGCTAGAATCTTTTCTTAAAAACTTTAAATTTTGACAGTTATATTTATCAGTCATGGTAAATCCCATGGAATTTTGTGTCATATTCAATCCCACAGTGCACGGCAACCAGTTAGGGCAGAGACTATATTGGAAAGGCCTGGCTCTACCCAATCGATGCAGAATCCGCAGTGCATTTTTAAACTGAATATTTATTTCTGTAGGACTGGAAAAGGAGTTTAGAGGTGGCAATAAAATCCAGATTATGATAATGATAACTGAATGTATCACATACAATATTTTGAAACAATTAATATAGTTAATCAAAATGTACTAGTTCATAAATATGTTACAATATTTAAAAACAAGAATTTCATTCTTTTTAATATACTATTTTAAATGTAATATCTTACTTAAATTTTAATATATGGTTTTCAAATTCCTTTAGAATTATAAATATATAAATTATATTTTGATCAACTATAACTTAATTTGATAGGAAAAAAACTATATGTACATGTGCTTAAATTTTTCTAGAACTACTTTAGCACAATGTTTATCAGCATCTCAAAGTTTAATACTCATTATCTACCTTATATTTGGTTGAGTTTAACATCTACCTGTAAAGATATGAACACTGTGTATTCTAGGAAACATAAATCTCAGTGGTTGCAGAAGAAAATATTTATACATGTCTCTAGACCAGACTGAACTCTATGACTTAAATGCACTAATTATATGAGATGGTAGATGAGAACCTTTAGGGATGGATAAAATAGATATCACACCATCATTTATTTTTAATTTATAAGAACAACCAAATATATTTGTCTATTTATATTATAATTTTTTTTCTATTATTAAACCTCCACTTAAAATGTTTTGCATGTTTGAAGCTATGCAAATAGATTACAGAGTTATAATAGCTTCGAGTAGTATTTCATTGTTTTCACCCACAACTCATAAAGGTGTCAAGGTTAAGCATAATGGAAATATTGGTCAATTTCTCATCCACAAATTCAAGAAAAAGTGTCTTATTTTCCTCCATTATTATCCCACTATGACCTCATGAAAATCTGATTTCAATGTGTCATATCCAAAATCATGCTGCCTAAGTACTCATTAAGTTTATACAAAGTTTGTATATACTCAATCACAACAGAGTGTCACATCAAATTTAAGTAGTAATTACTATTGACATTATTAGTTCATCAACAGACAATCTGAGAAATTGAGGATTTAAGTGACTTGCCAAATATTACACAGACAGTTATTATTTAATAATTCTGTAATTAAAGTTCTTGATTGACACCTTATGATCACAAAAAACGATAACTCAAAAGTATTTTAGGAATTCTCTACTTTAGGTTCTAATTCCTTTGCCAATGAAATATTTTCTTTTGATCTTGGGAAAGGAATATCCTGTATTAATATTTATTGACACTTACTCTTTAATATTGCATTTTAAACTCTTCTAGAATTTCAAATGTCAATGAAAAAATATCTCCAGTGCTCTAACACCAATTTTTTCAATTGTATGCAATATTATTCCATTAAATATTTAAGACTTTACATTAAAATATTATTTTATTTGGACATAGTCTGCTTACCAAAACAACATATGTGTGTTTATTGTCACCCATATTAAAGTATAATAAAGAAAGGGGATTTGAATGTTTATCTCTACAACCAGTCAGTTCATTATAGCTAACATTTTTCTTCTGGCTGACAAGTTTTAAGTACGATGCCTTCAAGTTGTTAACTGTAATCTTGTCATCTCCAATTACTGCTTTTTATTATGAATTTTTTCTCAAAAAGACAAGACTGTAGCTGCCTATTCACTTTAAAATATGCACAAAAAACTCTAGAGTATAACTTCAGTGTGTGCAGTAAGGAAAAAATACATGCAGACAGATTTCTCGCTGTATTCATAACATCTCAGAGAAAAGTTATAAACTTTAATTATCACTTGTAACTTGTACAATTTAGAATCACTTGTAACTTGTATACTAGAACAATATGTTATATATTATTCTGTGAAAATTAATTGCAGATATCATTAAACCCTTTTCACTTTACTTCTTAAAATCTAATTATTTTTAATTTTTACATTATTATAGGATATCTTTTTAAGGTTGTAAGAAAATATAATGCATATCAAGTATTATAACACTTGACATATAGATTGCTTAAAGAAACAAACCCTTAAAACCACAGGTAAAACCATTTTAAGTATTTATTATATATTTTCCAAGGAGCCTATATAAATGTTGTATTATTGTCCTAAGCAACTACTGATAGATGAGATATTAACACTTTCACTATATACTGTTGGAGGTGGAAGACACTAATGTGTTATGGGAAGATATAAAGGGACATCGCTAAAAATGCTGTGAATACTTATAAGTGCATGCTAACTGTTAAGTAAATGATAATCGTCTACAATCCACAGACTCAGAAAGATTAGGTAAAAAGTGCTCTAGAGGGAACACATGAACCTCCCTGGGAAGGGGAAATACAAGAAATGTTGTAAATGGACTGGAGATGGACTGGTATGGGAACAGGAAGAAGAAGGAGATGAGGTGGAAGAGAATGAGGGGAGAGACAGTTGGAATTGGGGAGCATTGTCCGGGTGGTGTAGAAACCTAATGTGATAAAACTTTCCGTAATCTGTGAGGAGGATATGGAATCTGAACACGCCGTCTTTTTAGCCAGGCAAGGATTCCAGTGGTGGGACTAGGTTACATTCAGTTGAGTTGACCAGGAGGGTCCTGTGGAGATCCCTAAACAACCCATGCTAATACTAGGACCAATAGTCACTCTCTGAAAACTGACAGCAGGTTCCATGGCTAAGAACAACACAGCTTATTGAACTTAGATGAGGTCTAGCTGGTGCCGGCATGGAGCCTTCACCCCTAGTTTCTAGTCTCTTTGGCATGAGAAGGTACTCTGTAGGCTACTGAAAGAGAAACCTGGACACCAACTCAGCTACAAAACCCACCATCTACAATCTGTCCTGCCTGCAAGATCTGCTGGGGTGATGGAGGCACAGAATTTGCAGGAGTGGCCAACCAAGATTTGGTTTCATTTGAAGTGCATGTCCCAAGAGGGAGCCCATGTCCCACACTGCCTGGATGGATAGAAATAGAGACTGGATAGCGCAGAGACCTAGGTTAGAAACAAAAGCAACTGACAAAAAAAATCAATGAAATGAAATGACGCTTAATGAAATTCTGTTATATCCATAGATCAGTGGCTTGTCCAGCTGCCATCATGTTATCAGTGAGGCTTTCTCCAGGAGCAGATGGAAGCAGGTGCACAGACCCAAAAGCCAAACATTATGCAGAGAAACTCTTAATTGGAGGTCCCCATCGGGTCCCTCACCTCGGATGTCATAGAACCATGCAGAGTGGGAGAAGAGAGATTGTAGGAGTCAGAGGAGGTAGGGGACACAAGGAGAAATCAATTAAGCAAGGCTCACATAGGCACACAGAGACTGAAACAGCAAGCATGGGGCTTGAATGAGTCTGTACCATGTTCTCTGCATGTATGTTATGGCTGTTAAATTGGTGTTTTTGTGGAACTCCTAACAGTGGGAATGGGTGTTTCTCTGACTCCTTTGCCTGCTCTTGGGACTCTTTTCCTCCTACTGGGTTGCCTTGTCCAGCCTTCATATGAAGGCTTTAGTCTTATTTACTGTATCTTTTTTTTTTTGGGTTCTGTTTGACTGTTGTTTCTTGGAAGCCTGTTCTTTTCTGAAGAGGAAGTGAAGGGGGAATGGATCTGGGGGAGAAGGGAGGTGCAGGGAGTAGTTGGGAGAAATTGACTCAGAGGAAACTGTGATCAGGATGTATTGTATGAGAGAAGAATCTATTTGTAACAAAAATTTAAAAGAAGAGAGTCAGTGAATATTAAGAAGGAAAATAAATGAGTATTAGGAACAACTCTATATTCCCAATTTGATAGCATGGAAAACTAAGTAAATGCTTGAAGAATATCATTTAGTAAGGGTGACCTGTCAAAATATACCTATATCTTTAATGACGTTGTCTGTCTAATTACTGAAATTCCAAACTAAAGAAGTCTAGGCTGAGATGTATTCTATTAAACACCAGAGATATAAATTATAACATATTTATTTCAGAGGCTAGAAATGAGTACTTTCTAACTCATCCACCATGCCCTGCATTGCTTGAGTATCTAAGACAGACAAAGATGTAGACTGCAGATAAATAATTTGCATGAATACATATGCAGTAGTAAAGCAAATGATGATGCATTGTAATCAACCTCTTGATCAGTTTAAGTTCAGAGCTGTACTTCACAACAGTATACAACATTGTCATCACCAACATGTATACACCCTCTGCTTCAAATGACTCCTAAGACACATTTTATACATTGGCAGAAACTGAACATTACATACATTTCAAAATATATCAGGAGAAATTTTATAAGTTCCATAACATAGCTTATATGTTTGTTTAAAGTACAGATGTATCATATTTCTTTTAAACTATAAAATGCTACTGATAAATGTTGCTGATAAATTAGCTAAGTCCTTTTTTGTTTTCCACTGTAGTTGGTGATGGTGACAGAAGTCTAGCATATATAGATATACTTAGTGGTATTCTAAGCCCTTGTCCTTCTGAGTCAGGATCAAATTATGTATCCCAGCCTGGCTTCAACACCATCGTACCCTTTCATGTACCTCCATAATCAGTTATGTAATCAAATATTAACATAATATTTCATTCCCACTCTTTTGGTATTATGAATTAAATATATTATTATATAGAGTAAATTCTAACAAAAATACAACTATCTGCTATAAGCAAAACATTTTATTTAATTGTTGGTCATACCTGAGTTAGTTCATTAATATCTATAAGTCCATTACTGTCTGCATCAAAATGCTTGAACATTTGATCCACCAACGGCTTCTTCCTAGATATGTCATCATCGTTAGAATTCTCATTTTCTTGTGTAATGTACTTTTGATTTTGTAAATCTAAAAGCATACTTTTCATCTTGCTGTACTCAGTGGCCAAGCAGTTGTCTCCTGTAACAAAAAATTTGAGTTATTTTTGAAGTAATCTCACTGAGAATAAATTATTTTATTAATATGTAGAAATTGATGTTATATGATCAATGTATGCAATCCAAATTTTTAATTTCCAATTTTGCATACTTTAGAACTTGGTAAATGAATGTACTGTTCTCCAGGTGATAGAAAACTTTCTGCCAAGTTCATAAAATTTACTTTTTTTTCTATGAGAAAGACATTAATATTTTAAGAAACATAGAAAAACATGCTATCAACTGGCTGTAGAGTTTAAATTAATTGCTTTAGTTTTTATCCTCACACTACAGCTCTACATTGATAAACTCAAATATACACAAAATAATGAGCAGGGGCTGGAGAATGCACTTTCTGCGCTTGTAAACGATTAAAATTCAGTTACTACCACCCATATCAGTTGGTTCACAACAGCCTCTTACTCTAGCTCCAGAGGTTCGACACGATGTTCTGACCTCCACAGATATCCTACTTAGGTGCCCATATGCATACACACAGACAAACCACAGATAAAATTAAAACAAACCTGTTTTTTTAAAAAGAAAATGAGGTTCAGTTAAGAAGACAAAGGGTTAGAGTCTGCCTGATTTTGTACTTAAACTTATTTACATCTTGCTCCACAATAATTGTACCATATTACACAGGATTAAGTTAAATATATTTAAAACATTTTGATTTGTTTTAAGGAACTATCTCGCATTTCAACCTGTCTGTCTATATGTAACATTTTCTCTCCCCATCTGAAAATATCCTTAATAACAGAAACTTCATATTAGGATCTGCACACCTGCCTTTTCTTACTGCCACTGTACCCACTTACTGCCTCCTAAAGTACTGACATTATCATATAATAATGTGTTTTCATTTTATACTGTGAAATTTTAACTTTATAAATCTCATCTCCAAGTTAAATTCATTGCAATAAAGATATTAACACACTTTTAGTATCCCCTGGGTATAAATCTTAATAACAGGGAAATTAGAATTAATTAAAATAATTGCATACCTAATGTTTCTTACAAAAACAAAACAAAAAACAAAACTAGTATTACTGATCTGGTATCTTCACATAATTATTTCACAAAGGATTTGACTTTACATGTCCTTATGATGAGTTCTGTAGTAAAAGTAGAATATTGAGATAATTCAACCTGCTGATAGGAAACATGACATAAAATATATTATAAAATGAGAGTGAATAGAGCAATTATGAATGAAACAATAGGTGCTATATTAGGTGGGAATTTTACAACATATTTTTAGTTAAATATAGTTCTATAATTGAGTTTATTTTTACAATTAGGTTTGGCAGTATTGAAAATTTTCAAAGAAGATTTCTAAAGATGTATAAATATATGTCTGGGAAGCCTAAGGTTGAGGCTCCATTGTCTTTCAAGAGAAGATGGAAAACATGTATTCTAGAGAGAGAAGAGACGATCTTACTTCTTTAAAGGGCAATAAAATGACTGCTGTGCAGCGATTTTGGTGTTTGGTAATCCTTTCAAGAAGTCCTCGTTTTAAAATGAAAAGTAAATGTGGTGCTATACAAGAAGTCGATTTCACATTATTCTGTTCTCACTGAAGAATAATAATATCACATAACAGCAAAGAACTCACTGCCAAAGGAGCAAAGTGATCGAATCTAGATTCAATAGCCAGCAATTTGGGTGTCTGGAAGAACAGCACAAAAGCAAAGCTTCAGTCATGTGTGTGTAGTTAGGCACATATGTACACCATGAAGAAAAGACTCCTGTGAGAAAGAATGGCAAAGCATAGCAAACCATTCCAATAGGTCTGGCTTAGCTTTCTGTACAGCCGGAAACACAGAATAACTTATCCAAAACAAACCTCCATTTGTAATGGTAGTTAGTTAGTCTAGGGTAGTGTGGAACAATCTTTAGGAGCTGACATAAATGAGTTTCAGTACAAAATTAGCAAACTCTCCTGCAGGTCAGAGGATAAAAAGTGGATATTTGGAGGTTGATTTTAGACTACAGACAACTTGGAATTCAGAATATCAATGAGAAGTGTAACAGAAGGAAGACGTAAGCATGACATTTACTTTAATAAATATTTACATTTGAGGTCGGTATATTTGAAACTTCATTAGTCTAATATTTTTTTCATTTTTCTTTATTAAGAAATTTTCTACTCACTCCACATCCACAGAACCCCCTTCTCCTGCCTCCCACCCACAGAACTCTTTCCCAAGTCACCCCACATCCCAACATCCCCCAAATCTAGGTCTCCCATGGGGAGTCAGCAGAGCCCAACACACTGAGCCCAGGCAGGTCCAAGCCCCTTCCCACTGCACCAAGGCTGTGCAAGGTGTCACACCACAGGCACCAGATTCCAGAAGCCTACCCATAGACCAGGGACAGAGAGATGCAAAGGAAAAAGACCAAGTAACATATAAAGGCAGACCCATAAGAAAATGCCTACTTCTCAATTGAGACTCTAAAAGCCAGAAGGTCCTGGTCAGATGTTGTGCAGATACTAAGAGATCATGGATGCCAACCCAGACTATTATACCCAGCAAAACTCTCAATCAGCATAAACGGAGTAAACAAAATATTCCATGATAAAACCAGATTTAAACAATATCTCTCCACAAATCCAGTCTTACAGAAAGCACTCAAAGAAAAAAATCCAACCTAAGGAGTTAGATATACCCATGAAAACACAGGCAATAGATAGTCTCATACCAACTAATACCAAAGAAGGGAAACATACAACACTACCACCAAAAAATAACAGGAATTAACAATAACTGGTCATTAATATCCATCAATATCAATGGTCTCAATTCACCTATAAAAAGACACAGGTTGACAGAATGGATATGAAAACTAGATCCATCCATTTGCTGCATACAAGAAACACACCTCAACTTCAAAGACAGACACCACCTCAGAATAAAAGGCTGGGAAAAGACATTCCAATCAAATGGATTTAAGAATCCAGCTGGTGTAGCTATCCTAATATCTAATAAAATAGACTTCAAACTAAAATTAATTGAAAGAGATAGAAAGACACTACATATTTATCACAGGGAAAATCTGACAAGATGAAGTCTCAATTCTGACTATTTATGCCCCAAATACAAGGGCACCAACATTCGTAAGAGAAACATTACTAAAGCACAAATCGCACATCAAACCCATACACTAGTAGTGGGAGACTTCAACACCCCACTCTCACCAATGGACAGGTCTGCCAGACAGAAACTTAACAGAGAAATAAGGGAACTAACAGACATTATGACTCAAATAGACTTAATAGATACCTACAGAATATTCCACCCTAACACAAAAGAATATAACTTTTTTTTCAGCACCCCATGGAACCTTCTCCAAAATCGACCACATGCTTGGTCACAAAGCAAATCTCAACACATACAAAAAAATTGAAATAACCTCCTGTGTCTTATCAGACCACCATGGCTTAAAGTTAGACTTGAACAACAACAAAAATTACAGAGAGCCTACAATCTCATGGAAACTGAATAATGCCCAATTGAATCACCAATGGGTCAAGGAAGAAATAAAGAAAGGAATTAAAGATTTCCTAGAATTCAATGAAAACAAATGTACAACATACCCAAACTTATGGGATACCATGAAAGCAGTGCTAAGAGGAAAATTCATAGCATTAATGCTCACATAAAGAAGTTGGAGAAATCTCATACTCGTGAGATTAGCAGCAAACCTGAAAGCTCGAGAACAAGAAGAAGCAAACTCACCCAGGAGAAACAGATGCCAGGAAATAATTAAATTAAGGGCTGAAATCAATAAAATAGAAACAGAGAGGACAATACAAAGAATCAATGAAACAAAGAGTGGGTTCTTTGAGAAAATCAACAAGATAGATAAGTACTTATCCAAATTAACCAAAGAGCAGAGAGAGAGAGAGCATCCAAATTAACAAAATAGGAAATGAAAAGGGGGACATAACAACTGACAATGAGGAAATCCAGAAAATCATCAGGTCATACTTCAAAAACCTGTGCTCCACAAAATTGGAAAATCGGAAAGAAATGGATGATTTTCTGGATAGGTACCCCATACCTAAGTTAAATCAATACCAGATAAACTATATAAATAGACCAATAACCCCTAAGGAAATAAAAACGGTCATTAAAAGTCTCCCAACCAAAAAAAGCCCAGGACCAGATGGTTTCAGTGCAGAATTCTACCAGAGTTTCAAAAAAGAGCTAATAGCAATACTCTTCAAATTGTTCCACACCATAGAAACAGAAGGAACATTACTAAATTCTTTTTATGAGGCCATAGTTATCCTGATAACCAAAACCACACAAAGATGCAACAAAAGAGGAGAATTACAGTTCAATCTCTCTCATGAACATTGATGCAAAAATACTAAATAAAAGACTGGCTAACCGAATCCAGGAACACATCAAAAAAAAAATATTCACCATGACTAAGTAGGCTTCATCCCAGGGATGCAAAGATGTTTCAACATATGAAAATCTGTCAATGTAATACACCATATAAACAAACTGAAAGAAAAAAAACACATGATCATCTCATTGGATACTGAAAAAACCTTTGACAAAATCCAACACCCCTTCATGATAAAGGTTCTAGAGAGATCAGGAATACAAGGAACATACCTAAACATAATAAAGGCAATTTACAGCAAACCGACAGCCAACATCAAATTAAATGGAGAGAAACTCAAAGCGATTCCACTAAAATCAAGAACAAGGCAAGGCTGTCCACTCTCCCCATACTTATTCAATATAGTACTTGAAGTTCTAGCTAGAGCAGTAAGACAACAAAAGGAGATCAAGGGGATACAAATTGAAAAGGAAGAAGTCAAACTTTCATTATTTGCAGATGATATGATAGTATATATAAGTGACCCCATAAATTCTACCAGGGAACTCCTACAGCTGATAAACTCCTTCAGTAAGGTGGAAGGATACAAGATTAACTCAAAAAAATCTGCAGCCCTCCTAT